TCTCTGCAAGATGCTGTCTGTGGTTAGCCATGGCTTGAGTTTTGGACTTCTTGGTAAAGGAACCACATAGGTTTGTGACTGCCATTGAACTAAATTCTTCTAGGACTCCAGAAAGGGAGCAATTCTGTAATTTTGTTCCTTCTTTCTCTGCTTAGAGATTTATAAGGATCTTTAGCCAATCTCCATGAACATCTTCTAGATGGTTGTAAGGAACTGGAGCACAATCAGATGGCTGAGGAATGACATCCAGCATTCTTAAAACGAATTGAAAAATGCATCTAGTGAAGTAATGTGAAGCTGAAATGGACCTAAATATTTTTTAAAATTATAAGGCCAGAATAAAATACAACCAAAATATTCTCTAAATCTAATCTAAACCAAACCAATATGTATTTCTTTTGTTCTAAGACCCTGGCTTGTGAATTTGACTCAGGAAAAGATTTTGGCATCTATTATTCCAGTTTGCTTTTCTCCCTCAGGATACGAGCCATGGAATGTGGCAGTGGAGTTCAGCCGAGTCACAACATCTGCCGCGTGGGGGATTTGCCTTTTGCAGGTTGCCACACGATATGCAGCTTTTATAAGTCTCAACTCAGAGCATCACTTGGTGCCTGCTTCGTGTACTTCCCTGGCAGCCCCAAGCCTTTCAGATAGTCTTTAAAGTTTGCAGTCTATTGAAGAGAAAAAGTTTTCTAGTTGATTAAAAACAAATTCTAAATCCAGTATTCACAACCATTTGTTTTACAAATGAGGTAACCTTAGGAAAATGCAATCAACAAAACTGAAATTGTTCTTGCTCCATTGTGAACATGGGGCTTTGGGAATCTTGTTGGATCTTGGCCCTTTACCTCCTGGTCCGTAAACAGGAACTCTCCTAGATTGTCTCAGACTGACTTAAATTTGTATGTGTGTAACTTTTTAATTAAAATTTTATTTTTCAGCTCCCAAATTTGCTTCTTTTTTATGTTGTCTATCTCTTTGTTGAACTCATTTTGTTCTTGCATTGTTTTTCCCGAATTCATTAAATTGTCCTGTGTTCCCTTGTAGCTCTCTGCATATCTTTAGAACAATTATTTTGAATTCTCTATCAGGCCGTTCATGTATCTCCATTTTGGAGGCTCAGTTACAGTAGGTTTACTGTGTTCCATTGGTTCTTCATGATTCTTGAAGCCTTGCATACATGTCTGTCTAACCATTTGAAGACGTTGTCACCACTTCTAGACTTTATGGACTGACTTCAGTCAGGAAAGAGCTTCACCTGTAGGTGGTGGCACACTGGGGCTTGCTGTCATCCTGGGTCTAGTGGCACAGAGCACCGAGTGCAGGGGCTTGTGGAGGCATGGTGTTGTGACAGCTCAGGCTGCTGAGGTCCGCATTGCCAACTACATAGTCCTTAGTGAACACTGTGGGAGATCTGCAGTAGCTGGAAGGACTGCTGGGGTCCTCAGTGATGCTTCGGGGTCCAGCAGCTAGGGACTAAGGCAGGCAATGGCGATGGCTACAGCTGGTGGTGTGCATGCACTCAGTTGCAGGGGCCAGCTGTAGGGGCCTGTGTCGGCAAGAACCAGTTACAGACAGATGTGTAGTGGTGAGGGCCAGGGCCAGAGGCAAGGACTGGGGCCACCTGCAGGTGTACTAGTAGCTGAGGCTGCAGGGTCTTGCCACAGGCTACGCACAGCAGTGGAGGCTGGTGGCAAGAGCTGGACTGGCCGAGTACAGATGCACAGCTGGAGGGCCTAGCTGCATGTGAGCCCAGTGGTGCAGGCTAGTGATAGAAGTCAGGACCAGATTTGGGCTGACAAGTGGCCGTGGAGGCCCTGGCTGTTTGTGTGCACTGCTGTGTTGTTAAAATTTAACAATTGGCTCTATCAAAAAGCCATTTCTGATGCCTAGCCTAAATTTTCCCCAGTATTGATTATTTCTTGTCCTATTCTCTGCACTAACAGAGGCTGCTCACTGCCACTTGCTCAAGGACCTTTCATACCTGTAAAGAATAGCAGGTTCTTTTTGCCGTTTCTCTCGCTCACACTTTGTGAGCCAGGGAGCCAGGAATTCCACCACCTCCTGCAAACCACAGAGAGACACATTTTTTAGGCAGCAAGAGAGGGATCTTTGGGGTTTCTCAAATTATAGACATCACAGAAGTTGCTTCCCTTGCTTATCATTTGCTGATTGATTAGTTCAGATCCTCTGATGAAGAGATGGCAACACATTTCTAATAATTGCATTAGTATCACATAATTCAATAAATCTATTTGCTTACCACATCCAAAGAATTAATGGTTAAAAGTTTGAAGAGGATTACAATTACTTAGTTTCACAGCTGATCTGATTTCTTCATTCAAGTCACATATAATAAAAAAAAAATTGCTAACATTTGGGTGCTGACGGTGTGTCAAGCACTGAGGAAAGCTTTTTGCTACAATCCAGTGAGGTAGGCACTAATAATAGATCCCTTTTAGAGATGAGAAGACTGAGGCCCAGAGAGCTTAAGTAACTTGCCAGAGTTAACACATTTAAGAGGTGGAAGAACCTCCTGCTTGACAGACTCCCACGGGATCCATAGTATAGGAGGGCTACTTTGCCTTGGCCTTTCCTAGAAGGCCTTACATTTAGGTATTTGACATCTCCACATGGTGTGTTACAGTCACAGAAGTATAACAGAGAACTGAAAGAAGTCTGTCGTACAACTTGGACCACACTGTCCTCAATACACTATGGATACACACACACACACACACACACACACACACACACACACGTTACATTTATTTAACATAAAAATTATGTTACATTTTATTTTTGTATGTGTTAAAGCCTTTAGTTAGATAAACATAAACATTTTAAATACAACATAATCCTGAAACCTTATTTTGACACTTCTTCATTTTTGTAACATACAGAGTCTCAACGATGAAATTGGCCTGGCCATGTCTTCACATTTGAGAGATCCCAGTGCACAGAACCAAAAGATTAGGAGGGAAACTTAGAGACTATATTGTCTAACTTCTTCATTTCATATGTGAGGAAATGGAGACACAGAGATGTCGAGTAACCTCCCCAAAGTCACACAGCTAGAATGTCCTTCTACTGACAGAACAGTGTACTTGGTCTTGTACCCACTGCTATTGATACCTGGTTTATGCCTCCCAACAAGCAAGAAGAGATGTTACATACGCGGACACAAGCAACAGGAATATCCTAAAGATCATGAAGCATTGATTTTAAGGCCAATGACTCCTTCCAGTATAATCTTTTTTTTGAATATGTGCAGAAAAAAAAAGATTACATTTCTATAGAACTTTTCACATTTCACAACCTTTTTGGAATCAAGATTCAATATTAAGCCTCATGGCTGGAAGGGTGAGTGTGCGGGCATTGCTATTTCTGTTTTTCAGACTGGGAAACAAGAGTCAGGAAATGTTACACACCTTTCCCAAGATAACACGGCTAGGTAGTGGCAGAGCTGTTCCTGTAATTTAGGACTGCTGGCTTGAGACATTGCCCTGAACCACACTGCTTTCCTGTACAACAACATGTCTCACAGGAATTACAGATGAGAACAGCATAAGCATTTTTGTTCTCCTGATGCTATTCATAAACCATTTTCAAACCCAGTGTACTTTCTCTGAAAGAAACTATTCTTCGTGTGATCAGTAACTTGGAAAGAAAGATAATTAGATCTTCTAAATGATATTCAGAGTAAACGTTATTTCAGGATAGATAGTAAGCGTTTCCAATGTTCCTGAGGTGTTTTTCTCAGTTGCGAGGTGTAAGATTTATTTAAATGAAGCTTAGTCTGGGAAACTAGCACGTTGTAATTAAAAATGCAGCCCTTGTAGTCTTACAATTCTTTGTCTAAAGTCCTTTTACAAAAAAGGGTATTTTAATTCAATAAATAAAAGAGGCACTTCCAGCTCCTACCAGCAGCATAGCTACCATTTGCAGCCCGACACACAACAGAGAAAATACACAAACAAACACTGTTTGATCTTTCCTTGCTGCAAGGCATTTTCATCTTTCAAGAGACTGAGGAAAAAATAACCTCAGAACTTTACCAAGACTTCCAAATTTGTTGCAACACAACGTAATGGCAAAATGCTGTTTCTTAGCAGTCACATTTTTGAATAACCACCATGGCCAAGAATGCCTGGTTTTGCTTTTACAATAAACCCAAAGAAAAGCTTGAATTCCACTCTTCAATTTGGAGATGGCAAAGATGCCGTAGGTTGTTCGGAGCAAATCATAGAGTCTAATAATTTAATTTTATCCTTTCTGTTTAACCTGTGCTCAAGGCATTTATTTCATGTTTATACTGGTTTGACACTAATCATACTTAAAAGAGATTTCATACCCTGTTTTCCTGTGCAAAGTTGAGTTACAATAGGAGGCTTAACAGCGCCAGCCTTTTCTTGGGCTTATCAGTGAAAAAGCATTCAGCCTAAGAAAACACTTCCAGTGTAAACAAGATACAGAACTGCACATCTACCCACATTCTGCTGAGATCTGGCTGAATAGAGAGAAGCACAGGTCCACACTAAATAATTTCTCTTTTAATTTAGCATCAATGAGCCCATTTCTCTTACTGCTTTTAATATAGTATTATAAGCAATTTGTTACATTGCTATTATATTCCATATAGGAAGTAAAGTATTGAAAAGGCAAGATAATACACTTAACCATACTTTAAAGTGCTACACAAATGTCACACTTTTCAACTTATTTTAATTATAATTAAGTTCATTTAAAGATACAGTGAAAATCTTGTTCTAATCTTAACTTAGTACAATTTATTTATAGTTGACTTACATAATGTTAGTTGTTTACGAGGATGTCAGTGACCACTCTCATCGCTCTTGAGACTGAAATTCGTACAGACTGATTACTTGGTCAAGGTATGTAGGTATTGTAGTTTCTTAATGATAAATGCATTTTAATGTTTTCATGATAAGGAATGGAAAGCAAACTAACAACTTAGCTTAATAATTCATCAGACATACCTTGTTTGAAGAAAGCAAATTTTTTTTTCAAGAATTTTCCACCCCACAGAATGGATGTCCTTTTTTCCTTAAGCTTTTCTGCATCACAAATTCCATCCAAATTATTCTAAAGAAGAAACAAGAAGAGGTCCAAGCACCTTTTCTTTTCAGAGGAACTAATCAAACATTCCCATCAACCTCTCAGCACTTTGAAAAGCACATTTTACACCACGCACAAGCACACACACACATACACACACACAAACACTCACACACACTGCTTCTCACACTGGTTTTAGTGCTGAATTAGGCGGTCCTCTCTCAAATTTCCACTCCCACTTGCTTTTTTGGGGGGGAGGATAAGAATTTCTAAATATTCTTTTCTAGCTTAAAGCACACATACTCAGTAACAAAATTCTACAATTAGAAATTCTAAAATGTAGGATTGAAGCACCTAGATAAAATGAAAAATGAAAATATATAATTTAAAAACAATTTAAGCAAGGCAATTCGATTTTCTCTTTCTTTTTTCAAATGCTAGTGAACAGCTGGATTAAACTGCATAAAGAAAGAAAACTGCAAAACCCACCAAGCTGATTTTACTGGCCTCTCATTTTTGGAGTGAAAATACTTACTTTTCCTACATGTCAATGCCATTTTTTTGGTTTAGTTCTCTTCGATCCCTTCTGCATTTTGGCAAGCTTAATGAAATGACTGTAGTCTATGCTGCTAGTAACAGGACACAAGATAATAATAGTGGGAAGCAAAACCTGACTCATGCATGTTTTGAAAATCTGGTGATGGATAGCTCACAACATTAAAGAAATCTGCTGATTTTAGTTATTTACATATCAGTGCCATCAATTAAATAGAAGGGATTCAGAACCAAAATACTCATTAGCATGTCACAGCATTATAAAAACAGACCATAAAGAAGTACATCTGGCACCCCTTGAGATTCGAATGTATGTCAGAATGGCAGAACATCTTCGTTTCAGCAGGCAGGGAGGTAGCACAGAGTCATTCCTCCTCCTGCTGGGGAATGTGCACTCACGCAGCCCCTGGAGGAGACTCTTCCTCACTGGCAGCCTCCCACCCTCCTCTGTTGGCCCTGGGATTGCTCCTTGATTTAAGATTATGGTTTAAATGTTATTTAATCTTTTTCCTCCTCCATTTGGTGCTGCATTTAAATTATTTCTCAATTCTGTTTCTTCTCCCATAAAATCCTGAGCTTGGGCCTGTTGATGGTAAGAAAGGGGCTGCCACATGGAGGGTGGCCTGCCTCACCATTTGAGTCAGGGAAGGTCCAGAAGAAATGTCAGTCCAAACAATTAATAGTGTAGTACCATTGATATTAATAATAATGTTCATTGCCATTGTCAAATACTTATTTTTGCTAGGCATGGTGATAAGCCCTCTACATATATCATCTCATTTAATACTTGGAAAAATTTAGAGTTGTCAGTACTATTACTTCTATTTTGCAGAGAAGAGAACTAAGGCTTATAGAGATAAAGTGACTTTCCCAGGGTTTTCCAACCAGAAAGGCAAGAACTGAGATTCAAATTCAAGGCTGTCTGACTTGGAAGCAATGGCAAGGTGCTGTGTTAGGACTTAGTGCTTGTCTTCTGTTATTAGTTTAATTTGTTTTTTTTATGATTAATAAGGCAGAATCAAATGTACATATATTGAAAAACATATGAAGAGATGCTCAAAGAGAAATGCCAATTAAATAGCAATAATGTTTTCAGTGATGAAAAATTTTGGAAACAGTGATAATTATACAATATTATGAATATAATTAATGCTAATAAATTGATTAACTTAAAATGGTTCGAACAGTAAATTTTTCATTATGTATATTTACCACAAATATAAATTCTTTTTTTAAGAAAACAATGAAATATCATTTTATTTTCTTCAAATTGCCAAAAATTAAAAAGCTGGAAAATGTCCATGGCACACATGTGGCCTGATGGGCTGTTGGCTGTGTAGACAAATGTAGCTATTCTAGAGAGACATCTAGAAGTACCTCTTTACATTCGTGTGTACCCTAGGACCCATGGAACTCTGGGATATTATAGTCTTTCATAAGCTTCTTGCTCAGGGCCATGAAAAATTCATCCCTGGTAAATGAATGAGTTAAGTATGCACAGTATGAAATATTATGAAGTAGGTAAAAGCAAAAGACTAGATGTGGGGTTTAAGCACTGATTCCCAGGCCAGATCCCCTAAGTCTGACTGTTGGTTTTAGCACCTGACATTGGGCAAGTAACCTAATCTCTCTGTTTCTTAGTTTCTCCATCTCTAAAATGGGAAAACTAATAAAACTTGTATTACAGGGTAATGATAATTAAGGGAATGAATATTTGTAAAGTTCTTGGAACCTTGCTTCATATAAAGCAAGTACAATGTAAATGTTTTTTAAATAAATAAAATGTATATTGATACAACTGTATCCATGCTATATGACCAATTACCACAAATTTACTGTCTTAAAACAACACACATTTATTATTTCACGATTCTGTAGATCACAAGTCTAGGTGCAGCAGGCCAGGTTCTGTGCTCTGGGTCTCATAAGGCTGAAATCAAAGTGTTTGCTGAACTGGGTTCTTATCTGGAAGCTCTGGGGTAGAATTCACCTTAAGCTCATTGAGGTTGTTGGCAGAATTCAGTTCCTTGCAGTTGTAGGACTGATGTCTCGGTTTTCTTACTGACTGTCTACCAAGGGCTGCTCTCAGCTTTTAGAGGTCACCCCACTCCTTGCCACATGGCCCCCTCCATCTTAAAGCCAGCTATGACATATTGAATCCTTTTCATACTTGGATTCCCTCTGAATTCCTCTTCCACAACAACCCAGGGAAAGCTGCTTTAAAAGGGCTCATGTGATTAGGTTGGGCCAGTGAGAAAATCTTCCTATCTTAAGGTCAACTGATTAGTAACTATAACCACATCTGCAATTTGTTTTGCCCTATGAGATACCATCATCATGCCCCAGGGGTGAGGATCATGGGAGCCATCTTAAAATTCCACCTCTTACAACTATTGATTTAAAAACATTTTTCTGAAGGAAAGTAAGAAACAGAATGAGAAACATAACACAATACTGCGATGGTTAACTTTATGTGTCAACTTGACTGCAACTTGACTGGGCTACCAGGTGCCCAGATATTTGGCTAAACATTATTTCTATTTGTGTCTGTGAGTGTGCTTCTGGATGAAATTAGCATTTGAATCTGTAGACAGAGTAGAGAAGATTGCCTTCCCCAGGGTGGATAGGCCTCATTCAATTTATTGAAGGTCTGAATAGAATGAAAGCCAGAGTTAGAATTTTCTCTGCCTCTCTTCAAGTTGGGATATTGGTCTTCTCTGCTTTTGGACTAGAACTACACCCCTAGCTCTCCTGGCTCTCTAACTTGCTGACTGTAGGTCTTGCCTTTTCAGCCTCCAATATCATGTTGGCCATTACTTACAGTAAATCAATCTATCTATCTATCTATCTATCTATCTATCTATCTATCTATCTACCTACCTACCTACTTATCTATCTACCTACCTACCTACTTACCTATCTCCTATTGGTTCTGTTTCTCTGGAGAACTGAGACAATTACAAATACAATTATAAAAATTAAAATATACGCACATGAAACAAAATACATTTTGCAAGAACACTTATGAATGAATGTATATTCACCATCTCCATGGAACTTCAGAGCCTCGTACTTGTTGCCTAAGGCTTCTCTTGGATACCTGAAATGGCTCACATGCTCACCTTCTGCAAGTCTTTGCTCAAATGTCACCACTTCTTGGCCACCCTGTTTAAAATGACATCCCTACCCCCAGCATTTTCTCTCTCTCTTCTCTATTTTATTTTTCTTCATAGTACTTACTATCTTTTAATAATGTTTTCTACTTCATTTTTCATTATGCGTTCCCTACTAGAATGTACACTCCCGGAAGGCAAGGTTATTTTAAATCTGCTTTGGTCACTGATGTTATTTCTGACCCTTTGAACTGACACATAATAGGTATATATACAATTTGTATTAACTAAATGAATGATTACAAATACATTAGAATTCTTACCTATGGGGAAATAGAATGAGAGTAAAGAATCAGGATAAAATGGAATAAAAACATTAAAGCAATAGTCTTGGAGCCTTGTGTGGACCAGTGATGATCACGCTGAGAACTGACTCAACTCTCCACACCCAAAGCTGGCAGCAGCAACATTACCTACAAAATCATAAAGTTGGTAGCCTCATGGAAATCTTTTAACCTCTTTAAAACAAGATCACAGCTTTCTGATAAGTGGCCTTAGCTTGCATCTTGGTGTAAACTGAACTTCTAGATCATTTCTAGTTGAGAACAGAAATTGTGATGCTTAGTTTTTCTTGCATTACTACTTGAGATTGTTTTGTTTATAAATCATCTATGGTTGCTCCAAACATCAGTTCTTTCATAAATAACTGTTTGTCATTATATAGTGTTCCAGTCTCGTATTGTATTTAGTACAAAAATTCAAATCTCTTTTAGAACATTCTCTGAAAGTTTTTATTATTGTTGTAAACGCTGAACTTGATGGCTCTTTAAAATACTGCCTCTTTTTTTTTTTTTTTGACTGACTCTAGATATAGAACTCAGGGAAATCAATGCACTCTTCATATAAAAAATCCATTCTTTTCTGTGACTTTTAAACATGCAGGATGGCAATTTAAGAGTCTAAGTAAGGAGCTAGCCTTTTCAGACCCTCCTGATACTTTTACTCTGTGCTGGTATAAAACACGAGTTACACCTTTCATAACAGAAGCTCACTGAAATGTGTAAAGCTATATTGTGTTTGATGCTACATCAATTTTTCATAGCAATATGATTTGCCTCGTGTTCCTGTATAATAGTGTTGAAACTTTTTCTCTGTGCACTTCTGTAGAAGCTTACTGCAATAATCAGGTGTTATTTTAGTTCTCTGGACACTGTTGAATGTCACTGCTAAACTCGCATGTTTGCGTAGTGTCAATGTGAATGCAAAATTGGCTAACATAATCGACTTTTGTTAAATGTATGTAGTCACTATCTGTCAGAAGCAAAATTATTAGAAGAAAAACATACCTTTCAAAAAATTGATGGAGTCACTTAGATAACTTATGAACAGATAGACTATAGATCGGCTATACCCAACTTTTTTGCCACCAGGGACTAGTGTTCCTATGAGAATCTAATGCCTGATGATCTGAGGTGGAGCTGAGGCAGTGATGCTAGCACTGGGGAGCAGCTGCAAAAACAGATGAAGCTTCGCTTGGTTG